ATATGGTTTTTCTTACCCAAAGATTTGAGCAGTTTTTTGATGAACTCCAGACTTTATTTCTCTAAAGCTTTGTAAAGTCAGAATACATTTTCCTGCTTTCCCCTTACCCAAGCTGAGGTGACCTAGCTCCCTGGGAGCCTGATGACAAGGGTGACACTCTCATGTGGCATCAAGATCTACCCTACATCATAATTATCTGTGAACATCTCTTACTTCTTCTCCTAATATTTAGCTTTTTGAAGTCAGGGGCTGTATCTAAATGATGTTCCCATTCCTAATGGTTCCGAGTATAACACTGAATGCAAGAAAAAAATCAGCCAATCATTACTGCTAACGGATAAAACAGAATTAAGAAGTGATGTATTGTTTCATAAAGAACCTGAATAAATAAAGGGAAAACATGAACAAAATGCTGTTTCATTATTGTTCATGGGTAGAAGCAGAAATTAGAAGTAATGTGTTGTTTCAGAGGGCACTTCAGGTCCTTGGTTTAGTAAATAGACAATCTTCCATTAACATATCAGTTATTTCCAATGAATGCTTGTGACTGAACCTGGAATTAGGGCACCTGGACTGTAAGCCCAGCTCTGTGACCAGCAAACTGTGGAAACTTGGCCAAGTCCCTGGGGCTTCTGAATATCAGTTTCCTCCTCTGGACAATGAAGGGATTGAAGTCATTATGACATCATCGCCCAAGTTCCTTCCAGTTTTAGCATTTTCCAAGTGTCTCCTCTTGGTGTCATCTCAGTTCCTTGGACACAGGAGACTCTCAGGAAATGCCCGTGAGTTGATTGAGGGAGTCAGTTCAGTGGTTTGACTTTCACACTGTTTATTTTGCCAAATCTTTTTCACTGATAAATATGAAACTAAATCTCAGCGCAGCCCCTCTTTACATTAGCACAAATTCCAAATTGGCAGGTTCCAAATTACTGACATTTTGTATTAGTTGTTTTTAATTTGGAGTATGTGACTTTTACATTTTTCATGTCTGATCCATGAGTTACAGATTTTTTTTCTTAGATAAAAGGGATGTTTAGAGATTGTCTCATCCAGGATTCTAAATCTAAGGTCTCTAAACCTGTAGGCTTTACGTTCCCATGAACCTCACCCCCAAATGTAGCCCTCAGAATCCTGTCATTCATTATGGGTTTACTCAACCTTTTTATTAGCAGCACTTGTCACCACTTGAAATTGTCGTGTACCTTTTGTCATCAATTCTGCGCCTGAACTCCACACTGCACGTGCACACACACACAGACACACAGACACACACACGAACACACACACACAAAACTGTAAGTTCCAGGAGGGTAGCACTTCATTCTGTCTTATTCACCACTGCATCCCACAGTTCACAGAACAGGGCCCGGCACTCAGTAGATGCTCAATAAGCATTTGCTGACTGAATGAATGTGTAAGCCAAGTAAGCCCCAGTTCAATTCCACATTCCCCAAACTCACACATGCAATTCCAAAATCTTTTTAAACTATGTAATTTCTGGAGCTTCTAGAATAAGTAATACAAGGAGGTGGGAATATATTCCAAATATACATCAAGCTTCCTAAAACTCCTCTTTACCCTCCCATCTCTCCCACATTTCGCACATCAAGGCAGAGATACGTTGAGCTGCTTTTTCTCATTCTTCCCAAAAGTCTTTATACTGCGCCCTTGTCATCCTCTTTTCTTCTCTCCTCTGTGCCCCCAAATCTATTCTTTTTGTTGAGATATAATTTATGTACCTTAAATTTTAAATTTTCAAAGGCTACAAATCAGTGATTTTTAGTATAGTCACAAGATTGTACAACCATCACCAGCTCCAGAATGTTTCCATCACCCCATAAAAAAAAAACTATACCCGGCCAGATGCTGTGGCTCACGCCTGTAATCCCAGCACTTTAAGAGGCCAAGGCAGGCAGATCACCTGAGGTGAGACCAGCCTGACCAACACAGAGAAACCCTGTCTCTACCAAAAATACAAAATTAGCCAGGCGTGGTGGCACATGCCTATAATCCCAGCTACTCTGGAGGCTGAGGCAGGAGAATTGCTTGAACCTAGGAGGTGGAGGTTGCGGTGAGCTGAGATTGCACCAAGCTGAAATCACACCATTCCATTCCAGGCTGAGCAGCAAGAGAAAGACTCCATCTCCAAAAAAAAAAAAAAAAAGAAAAGAAGCCCAGTCCCTCCCCGTTATTCCTTTCTTCCGGCCCCTGGCAACCACTAATCTACTATCTGTCTCTATAGATTTGCTTATTCATGGCATTTTACCTAAATGAAATACTGCAACCTTTTATGCCTGGCTTCTCTCCTTTAACATCATGTTTTCAAGGTTCCTCCATGTTGCAGCATGTAATATATGAGTACTTCATCCCTTTTCATGACTGAATAGCATTCAGTTGTATAGAAATACCACATTTTGTTTACCCATTCATCATCTGATGGGCATCTGAGCTGCTTTCACTTTTTGGCAATTATGAATAACGTTGCTATGAATATTCATGTGCAAATCTTTCTGTGAATATTTCTTTTCAATTTTCTTTGGTGCATACCTATGAGTGTAATTGCTAGGTCATGTTTAGCTTTTCGAGGAACTGAGAAATTATTTTCCAGAGTAGTGGAGTCACTTTTACACTTCCGTCAGCAACATGTGAGGGTTCTAATTGTCCACGTTCTTATCAACGCTTGTTATTGTTCATCTTTTTTATTCTAGCCTAGTTGATGTAAAGTGGTGTCTCATTGTGGGTTTTGATTTGCATTTCCCTAATGGTGAATAGGCCAATGAGATTGCATATCTTTTCATGAGCTTATTGGCCATTTGTCTACCTTCACTGGGGATATGTCTTTTCAAATTCTTTGCCCATTTTTAAATCTAGCAATTTGTCTTGCTAAGAGCTCGTCACATAGTCTGGATACAAGTCCCTTGTCAGATAAATGACTTGTGAATACGTTCTCCCATCCCTTGGATTGTTTTTCACTTTTGTAATTTTGATGAAGTACATTGTATCTACCCCAGATCTATTCTTACCTTCTACATCAGCGCCCTGACCTTTCTTAGGTAAATCAATCCAGCCTCTCTTGTTACATCCAGTTCTCCTTTCTACATGTCCCTGATCTGTATAACAAAGATCCTGAGGAAAGTAGAGCAAAATGTGAAAAGATAAGTAACGTCTGTGACCTCCCATGCTTTCATATTTTTGTTCTTTTCCGATATACGAAAATACTGTAACCACCCAATGGATTCACCTTACTCACTGCCTAGACAAAGCCGATTTCTCAAGACAGGGGAATTGCAACAGAGAAAGAATAATCAACGCGGAGCCGGCTGAGCAGGAGATGGGAGTTTTATTATTCCTCAAATCATTCTCCCCCAACATTTGGGGATCAAAGTTTTTAAAGACAATTTGGTGGGAGGGGAGGGGCAGTGAGTTGGGGAGTGCTGATTGGTTGGGTCAAAGGTGAAATCAAGGGGTGTTCCTGTCTCCTTGTGCTGAGTCAGTTCCTGGTAGGGTGGGAGGGTGGGGGTGGTCACAAGATCAGATGGGCCAGTTTCTCGATCTGGGTGGTGCTGGTTGATCCATCAAGGGTAGAGTCTGCAAAGCATCTCAATCACTGATCGTAGGAGCACTTTAACGAGGGTCAGATTTTTGCAGCCTCCAGCTCTGTGACTACTAAACCATAATTTCTAATCTTGTGGCTAATGTTAGTAGTCTAGTCTCCAGGCAGCAAGAAAGTTTGTTATGGGAAAAAGCTGTTAATCATCTTTGTTTTAAAGTTTAAAATACTTTTCCCCCAAAATTAGTTCCACCTATGCCCAGGAATGAACAAGGACAGCTTGAAGGTTAGAGCCAAGATGGAATAGTCTAAATTTGCCCTCTTTCACTGTCTCAGTCATAATTTTGCAAAGACAGGTTCAATATTTAGGCACAGTATGCATTTTTCTGAGGGTATGAGTCTATAGATTTATTTCATCAGATGTTCAAACTGGTCCTTGATGCCAACAATATTAAGAATTGTGCATGTAGTCTCATTCTCTTGTTTTTCAGGAAAATGAGACCTAGAGCACTTGAGTGATTTGGCCAAGGCCACCTAGCTTGCTAGTGACAGTTCTGCAGATACTCAGTATCTTGGTCTCTTTTTCTGTTGCTGTAAAGGAATACCTGAGGCTGGATACTTTAGAAAGAAAAGAGATTGGCCTGGCACAGTGGTTCATGGCTGTAATCCCAGCACTTTGGGAGGCTGAGACAGGTGGATCACGTGAGGCCGAGTTCAAGACCAGCCTGGCCAACATGGTAAAACCCCATCTCTACTAAAAATACAAAAATTAGCCAGGCGTGGTGGTGCACACCTGTAATCCCAGCTACTTGGGTGGCTGAGACATGAGAATCACTTGAATCTCAGGCGGCAGAAGTTGTAGTGAGCCAAGATCATGCCAGTGCACTCCAGCCTGGACAACAGAGCAATATCTGTCTCAAAAGAAAAGAAAAGAAAATAGGTTTATTTGGCTGATGATTCTGCCAGCTATATAAGAAGCATGGGCATCTACTTCTGATGAGGACATCAGGGAGCTTCTCCACTCGTGGCAGAAAGTGAAGGTGAGCTGATGTATGTAGAAACCACATGGCCAGAGAGGAAGCAAGAGATGGGGAAGTGCCAGGCTCATTTTAACAACCAGGTCTGGTGAGAACGAATACAGTAAGAACTCACTCACTCCCCCGCGCACAACAGGGAGGGCAGTCGTCTATTCATGAGGGATCTGCCCCAGGACCCAAACACCTCCCATTAGACCCCACCTCCAGCACTGGGAATCAAGTTTCAACATGAGATTTGTAGACATCAAACATCCAAACTATAGCAATCAGGTTTCCTTATCTTCCTCCCTGACTCACCATCACACCATCCCACTGTACCATAATGCCTATAGAATTTCCACATTGCAGGTAAATTTCTCTTGGAGTAGCACATGAATCCAATACCAATGTTTTATCAAAAATTTATTTCTCAGAGACTAAGACCAGGCAGAATTGACTCAGAAGGCTGTGTGGGAGCTGGAGAGCAAGGTGAGTCTTGGTGAGAAGCAGAAGCATTGGTCCTGAGGCTCCTCTGCAGAAGCTACAAGCCAGTGGCCTGGCATGGTGGCTCACACTGCTAATCCTAGCACTTTGGGAGGCTGAGATGGGCGAGCTACTTGAGCCCAGGAGTTCAAGATCAGTCAGGAAAACATGACAAAACCCTAACTCTACACAAAATATTTAAAAAAATTAGCCAGGTGTGGTAGCATGCATCTGTGGTGTCCCAGCTACCCAGGAGGCTGAGGTGGGAGGATCTCTTGAGCCTGGGATGTCAAGGCTGCAGTGAGCTGTGATCATGCCACTGCACTCCAGCCTGGGCAACAGAGTGAAACCCTATATCAAGAAAAAAAAAATAGAAAGCAAAAGAAGAAAAGAAGAAGAAGCTGCAATCCTGATGAGCCCAAATTAAAAAGTCATAAAATGAAGAGGAGGGGAGGGGATGGTGAAGATGCATCACCACCTGATCTGGGCTCGGTTGGAAACAAACTGCAGATTTAAATCAAAGAAGGTGCACTTGGTGAGAAAGGATGAGGAATCAAGGAAATTAGCTCTTACTTAGCAAAGTGGGGAACAAGAAAGATGGTACAACTGACAACCCTAAGTGACCCCTTTTCTCATTCTGAATAATTGAAGAATTTCTTCAGGTGCTGCAGTGAAAGACTAAACTTTCGGTCCAGGCGTGGTGGCTCATGCCTATAATCCCAGCACGTTGGGAGGCTGAGGTGGGTGGATCTCATGAGGTCAACATGGTGAAACCCTGTCTCCACCAAAAATACAAAAATTAATCAGGCTTGGTGGCATGTGCCTGTAATCCCAGCTACTCGGGAGGCTGAGGCAGGAGAATCGCTTGAACCTGGGAGGCAGAGGTTGCAGTGAACCAAGATCACATCACCACATTCCAGCCTGGGAGACAGAGGTAGAGAGACCATCTCAAAAAAAAGAAAGAAAGAAAGAAAGAAACTTTCTGGCCAACTTTTTACTTTTTTTTTCTGTTAGTAAAGCATTTTTTAATTTTTAAATGCTTACTTGGGCTTTAAGGTTAATATTTTGGCCAAAAAGTCTGTCTAGTGTAGTAATATGGTAGCAGTGTTTATTTCCTGGCGTTGGTAATAGTACTATTTATGTACAATGTTGACATAGGAAAACTGAGTGAAGGGTATGTGGGAATTCTGCACTTTTTTTTTTTTACAACTTTCCTGTAAGTCTAAAATTATATCAATATAGAAAGTTAAAAATTAAAGAGAAAAAACTATGGCTGCATTTTTAAATTTTTTGCATTTCTAGAAATTTATGTTTTAGTAATATTTTCTTTATGAAATCATAATGCAAAATAGTAACCAATAAACAACCAAACAGCAAGTCTTATTGAACTTGTATATTTATTTTATTTTATTTATTTATATTTGGAGTAGATGTTATATTTTTAACATGCAAAATTTAAATATTAAAGAGTATGAAGTGAAAAGTTTTCCTCCACTTTTAGCCACCAGTCATATACACACGCGTGCATATACATTTTTTTTTTTGAGACAGAGTCTCGCTCTGTCGCCTGAGCTGGAGTGCAATGGTGCAATCTCGGCTCATTGTAACTTCCGCCTCCATGGTTCAAGCAATTCTCCTACCTCAGCCTCCCGAGTAACTGGGATTACAAGCACCCCCAACCATGCCTGGCTAATTTTTGCATTTTTAGTAGAGAAAGGGTTTCACCATATTGGCCACACTGGTCTCCAACTCCTGACCAGCTGCCTCGTGATCCATCCGCCTAGGCCTCCCAAAGTGCTGGTATTACAGGCGTGAGCCACTTTCCCTGGCAAATACCAACTTTTATACAAGTGGTTGTGAGCTCATAAACAATTTTATAATACTTTGAAGTTAATTTTAAGGAAACAAAAGATGTGACAATAAGGCATCATCTTTGCTAACTCCACTCATACAACAGAATATTTCTTATTTATTTATTGACTTTAGACAGAGTCTCACTCTATCACCCAGGCTGGAGTTCAGTGGTGCGATCTCGACTCACTGCAACCTCTGTCCCGGATTCAAGTGATTCTCCTGCCTCAGCCTCCTGGGTAGCCGGGATTACAGGCGCCACCACCCGCCCCCCCCCCCCAGCCCCGCTGCCACCATGCCCGGCTAATTTTTGTATTTTTGGTGGAGATGGGGTTTCACCATGTTGGCCGGGCTGGTCAAACTCCTGACCTTAAGTGATCCGCTCTCCTCAGCCTCCCAAAGTGCTGGGATTATAGGTATGAGCTACTGCGCCCAGCCTATTATTATTATTATTGAACAGGGTCTCAGTCTGACACACAGGCTGGAGTGCAGTGGTGCAATCAGGTCACTGTAACCTCAAACTCCTGGGCTCAGCCAGGGGCAGTAGCTTATGCCTACACGTGATTACAGCACTTCAGGAAACCAAGGCAGGAGGTTACTTGAGCCCAAGAGTTTGAGACTAGCCTGAGCAACACAGTGAGATCCTGTCTCTACAAACAATAAAAAAATGAGCCGAGCATAGTGGCACATGCCTTTGGTCCCAACTACTCTGGAGGCTGAGGCAGGAGGATTGCTTAAGCCCAAGAGGTCAGGAGGTGGATGCTGCAGTGAGCCATGATCATGTCACTGCACTCCAGCCTGTGCAACAGAAGCTGTTTCAAAAAAACAAAAAAAGGTGACCACTCTCGTGTCCTTCCTTCCAGGTTCTCCCTCCACCTTTCATTCTGAAGCTTCTAACATTCAATGATTTCAAATTTCACTTTTGTGCTTAATGTAGTCACATGTCAATATTATAGCAATTCCTAGTATGCCTCTTGGCAGAAGAGAGGAAAAGCCATTCCTCCGCCCTGGGGACTGCCCTCAGAGCAGCTGATGCCATCCTGCAGCAGAGTCCAATGGCATCAGGTCGCACACAATCAGGGTAGCTGAGCTGGTGGTGGGTTATTCACAGGGGCTAGGAAGTATAACACAGGAAATAAGTCAAGATCCCTCTTTGCCATTTAGACTCTGAAAGCAGTGGTCGGTGGCATTCTCCCGCTACCCACCAAACACGCCACTTCCTTTTCTTCCCTCCAGCCTCAGACTTCTTTTCTCTCTTGCTCTTGCACACACACCACGAGGCGTTACAGGAAGGTTGTGGACTTGGGAACCAGGTTGGCCCACGTGTACGCCCGCATGGCTCACCTCCTAAGTGTGGACCGTAAAGTTCATGCCAACCTCTCAGCATTTCACTCCCCAGCTGCAAAATGAGCATAAGAAGCCCTACTCAAGCTTCTCCTGCTCAACCTTCTGTGACAACTATGTCTCCAGCTTCTGTGACACAGAAGAGCCCGCATGAGAAAGGGATTTGTCTGGGAGCCACCAGCCACCCACTGAAGTTGAATAAGTGTTAGCTCTCTACTCTGGATTCTTCTATTTCTTTTTTTTTTTTTTTTTTTTTGGTCTTCATTTCATCCCTCCTTTCCTTCCTCTCCTTTTTCTCTTCCTCAACCTGTTATCCCGTATTTCTTTTATTGGTTTTCCTTCCCACCCGCCTCTTCCGTGTCCTACATCTCATACTTTCCTTCACATTATTTATGACATGGAAACCATTGTGGATTCCTGATCAGAAAGGACAGGGGAATGAGACAAGACAATTGTATCAACAAAGCCTATGGGGGGAATAAGAATGAGTCCATAGATAGTCCACACATAGATATATATTTGTTATATGCATGGAGTTACCCATCAACCTGTTTAACAACCTTTATGCTAATTATACATTAAGTCCAGAAAAACACGCTCTCCTATCTTGGATCGCCTTCTAGTTTTGCAATGCCAGCTGCAAGCTTGGGGTCAGGTCAGCAGATCAGCAGAAGACCAGGAAATGCAAACAGACGGCCTCTGTCTACCTCTGCCCCAAGTTCTAGATGGCACGCAGACTGAAAAACAAAATTCTTATAAAAGTCCTGATTTCTAGTGTCCATTAAAAAATGAGGGTGGGAGCAGGGAGAGGAGCAGAAAAGACAACTCTTGGATATTGGGCTTAATTCCTGGCTGATGAAATAATCTGTACAACAAACCCACATGTACCCCCAAACCTAAAATAAAAGCTTTTTTTAAGGCCAGGCGTGGTGGCTCACGCCTGTAATCGCAGTACTTCGGGAGGCTGAAGCAGGCAGATCACTTGAGGTCAGGAGTTTGAAATCAGCCTGGCCAACATGGTGAAACCCTGTCTCTACTAAAAAATACAAAAATTAGCTGGGCATTGTGGCGGGCGCCTATAATCCCAGATACTCAGGAGGCTGAGGCAGGAGAATTGCTTGAACCCGGGAGGCAGAGGTTGCATTGAGCTAAGGTCGTGCCACTGTACTCCAGGCTGAGTGACAGAGTGAGACTCCATCTTAAAAAAAAAAAGTTCTTTTTGTTGTTTTTTTTTTTTTAAAGTAAGCTGGGCATGGTGGCTCACGCCTGTAATCCCAGCATTGTGGGAGGCTGAGACGGGCAGATCACAAGGTCACCAGCCTGGCCAACATGGTGAAACCCCATCTCTACTAAAAATACAAAAAAATTAGCCAGGCAGGGTGGCACATGCTTGTAATCCCAGCTACTTGGGAGGCTGAGGCAGGAGAATCACTTGAACCTGGGAGGTGGAGTTTGCAGTGAGCCGAGATAACACCACTGCACTCCAGCCTGGGCCACAGAGCGAGGCTCTGTCTCAAAAAAAAAAAAAAAAAAAGTAAATGAGAAGTCCTGGCAACCCTGGGGCTCACATTTCTGTATGGCAACAGCTGTCAGGAGAGGAGCCGTGAGTGTGCCTGTCTAGAAAGGGCTCACGCTCTCCGCTTTACCCCAATCCCCTCTACCCCCTAAAGCAGACCATTTGGCTGGTTCACTTATTTATGTTACTGGCCTGGTTTTCTGAAAGCATTTGGGTTCAGGAGATCTGTATTCTCCTTTCCCTAAACTCTGTCATGCAGAGCTATGGGGTAGGGGGAGGAAAGAAAAGATGGAAA